TTTGGGGGAGATTTGCACCTAGAGAAAGAGGATTCTTAGGGATGGGCCCTGTCTTAGTCACTTTTTCATCTATGGGAGAGGATACCTGCTTAAAGGAGTTAAACTTAAAGGACTTAAACAAGGAGAGATTTATTTTGCCTCACAGTTGCAGAGGTCTCGGTCCACGCGTGCTTGGCTGGCTGCAGGGAAGAAACAGGGTGGCCGCAGGCATAATGGAGTAAAGCTGCGCATATCATGGCGGACAGGAAGTCAAGCGCACAGGAAGAAGCCAGGGAGGGAGACAAACACTTCCGGGTCCCCAGTGCAAACACTTCCGGGTCCCCACTCCCCCTAACCAGGCACGTAATGGCACACTCAGCTGCTGCACTCATTAGTGGGTGAAGGTACTGATGAGCATAGCATCCCCACAAACCAGTCAGCTTCCGAAAGCCCTGCTTTGAGTGCGTGAGTTTTGGGTGAATCTAAACCATAACTATGGGGCTGGGGATTTAGCTCAGCGGCAAAAGCGCCTGCCTGGCAAGCGCAAGGTCTTGAGTTCGGTTCCCGGTACCAGAGAAAAACCAAAAAAAAAAAAAAAACAATAAACCATAACTAGTTCCAAGTTCGAGCATGAAGTTTATTTGTTTCATAAACACTTCATGTAAATAGCCTGAAAATAATGTTATGCAATAGTTTCAATAAGTCTACATGAAACAGAGCTTCATCGTGTTGGATTATCCATTTGTGGTATCGTGTCATGGCTCAGGTTCAGATTTTGGAGCGTTTCAGATTTTGGCCTTTTGGATTAGGAATGCTTTGCCTTTTAGCTTCAAGTGTATATCTTCTCTACCTTCACTGCCTTTGAATACATCCCCCCAGCCCCGGCTCGGCACACTGCTTCCTTCAGGAAATGGTCCCCTACGCTTGCCTGGACCTGGCACCACGTGGTTGGCCTTATTAAGTGAGAACTGGGAGCAGTTCTTCGGTTCTGGTGGTGCTGGATAGGGACCCTGTATCTCACACTTTGCAGGGTCTCTGCCTGTTGTCCCAGGGTAATTATTAACAGAACTCCCTTTTTACACCCAGAAGTGTCCCTGTTTGATGATAATTCTAGGTTTACCGTAATCACAAAGAGGTACTCTCATTTTTCTTTGCTTCTTTAGGGACTTCAGAAGGGGCTCTAACTTCATAGAAATCCTGAGTTAATCATTCAATTGCTGAGGGAGAGCTTCAGAACTGACAACACAGCAATTATACCAAGTGGTCTCAAAATAACAGCCAACTCATGTGAAGGATTTTTTTTTTCCTCCTCTCAGTACTAGCTTGTTGAGAGTCACTGACTCAAAGCAAAGCTTGGATTTTTTGGAAATGCCCAGTGTGTGTCCGGTGTCCTTATCTTACTGACCCGATCTGGTGGTTCCTCTCCAGCCCTTCCAGAGGGAGTGGCTGTGGAATTTCCAGGCCATTCCTGAACTGTTTCTTCCCACAGTGGCTGGCCACTTTCTAGCTGTCCTGTCTGGAGCTCTTCCTTATTAGTGCAGGGTTTGTGCCGTTGGGATCTCCTTTGTTAGGAGGATTGACCGTCAGCT